GGGGAATCGCCGGCGGCCCCGGGGCCTGGCCCTCCCTGCCGCACAGGAAGGAAAGGGAGGGCAGAGGGCCAGGATGCGGCACCGGTCACTGCGAATCCGGGCAGCCGCGGCGGGACAAGGCCAGGACAGGCTTCGTTTGGGGGGCTCTTGGCTGGGGGGTTGGAGAAGGGAGGAGATACGGCCGAGGTGCTGGCAGGAAACACTTTGCTCCAAAAAGATCCCCTTTGGAAGCTCCAAGGGGTAATAACGTGGGGATGCATCGCCCTGGGCACGCTGGGGAACCCTGAGGTAGCAGGAGGACGTCACGGCCGGGATGGAGCCCTCAGAGTCCCTCATCTTGTGAGTCCCGGCTCTCCACCCGCCTGCAGAAACGCTGGGTCCTCCTTGCCCTTCCCAGCGTATCCCGCAAATGAAACCAAGCCAGGAAACCCCAGTGCCGCAGGGGCTGCCAGGCCCCCCGGAGTGGGAGCCACCTCCAACCTCCGTCCGACCAAGGCCTCTCTCTCTCCTGCTTTTAGAGTCACCAAGTCAATTTTCCTGTCTGGGGAAGAGAGGAATCTGCGACTGCACAGGGGCAGCCTAGAGAGAGGCAGGTTGTCGTTTTCCTTGGAACTAATTTGGAGTGAAAAGTGGTTCCAGTTACCCCAGGTACAAGTGCTGTTTTGGGGAGGGGAGGAGCAGCAGCGGGGAGAGGTGTGCACCGATAGCGGTGCAGGTGTGCACAGATGTGCATGCAGATGTGCACGGATGAGTGTGCAGACGTGCACGCAGCTCTCCAGGCACGCGCCCGGTGCGGCGCTCCGAGGAGGAGCAGTGAGAGCGGAGGGGAGCGCCGAGCACGGAAGAGGTCCCGGGGCCGGGCGGGAGGAGCGTCCTGTCCCCCTGCCCCGACACAGCTCCCGGCGACACCGACACCGGAGCCCTGCGCAGAAAGGGGCTGCACGAGGACAGGACGGTGGCCAAGGTCCCCCCTCAACGGGGGACACCGGAGAACGGGGCTGGATTGAGTTACCGCAGGCCCCATCTCTCCATTATTCAGGAGCCAGAGCAGGACAAAGCACAAACAAAGCAGGGCCCCGAGGGGAGGACAGGACAGGGAGGACAACAGGAGCCAGGGAGCCGCGTCCTGGCTCTGCGCCTCCTTTCTGGCATCACAAGGGACACGGGCCCCACAGCTCTGGGGCTGAAGACTGCGTACGGGACCCTCGTCATGTCGTGGAGCAAACCCAGGCCGCGTTCCTCTGCTGTGCCCAGGGAGCAGCGTGTGGACATGCACGGACCCCTCGGCTGCTCGCGGGTGCAGAGGAGCCCGGGACTCACCGCGGTGCCTTCAAAGACACCTGAATAAACAGAAGCAGCTCCCCAGCTGCCAAGGGTTTAACGGCCCTTCCTCACAGGCAGGCACCAAGGTCGTGTGCCCGGCACGGACCTGGCACCAGGAGCTACCGGTTCAGGGATAAGCAAACTCGGGGGGAAGACGAGTCCAGGAGCCCCTCCTAATCTGCTTGATTAAAACACAACCTTCACTTAACAGATACGGAAACGCACAGCCCTGAGAAATGCTCCACATTCCCTGCCCAAAGCCAGGGCCACACGCACAGGGGTCACCCATCGCACTGACCTGCGGCACCGCTCCGGAGGCGAGCGCAGCTCCCGCGCTAGGAGAGAGCTCCAGACAAACCCTCGTCTGCTCCGGCGTCCTCCTCCTTCCTCTGCAGGACAGTCACACACCAACTGCTCCAAGATCTCCAGAAAATGACTCACACCAGTGACACACAGAGCGCAGAGCACGGAGGGAGCCTCCGAAGCTGCACGCAAGCGCTGAAGGACTCCGCGCGGGCAGGGCGCACGGCAAAGCCCACCTTGAAGCACCTGCTTCAAAGCACCTCATTTTCTCCAAATTTGGCTTTGATTGAAAAGACTTCCTCCCTAGGGCAGCCTACACTACCAGCTAAGAAAGGCTTCTCACTTAGGACAGCAGAACTTTACAAAGTTGATTTTTAAACGTATTAAAAAGAAGCTACTACATAAGCACTGAGGACTTGTTGCTGCGAGTTGACAGATACCTAGAGACACTGCAAGGGAAAATTTAACATGTTTTGCCCTAGAGCTTCTTCCCTTTTCTGTGGGCGGTTTCTACCGCACAGCCCTTGGGCAGAAAGTATCCTGCAACCACACCTTTAACAGAGCTCCAGCACGAACGAACTTTGCTATCACAGTTAAAATAAATCCTCCTTTACCTTTTATCACCTGGCTTCAAAACAACTCACCTGTTGGCTTCAACGTCCCAAGCAATGAAAAGGGAAAGGGCAAGGCGGTTTTCTGATATGTTTGTTCAAAGTTCATATCACACAGCGAGTATCTAATGTAAATGCAAACTTGGGACAGGTGTCCTTGACTTACACAGTGGCCAAGGGACACACAACTCCTGGCAGGCAGCTCCAGGGGACGCAGGGATGACGGAGCGTTTGCATAGCTGATTCAAAGCAAGGAGATAAAATCCCTCTGTCCCCAGCCACCCTCTATTCAGGAGTTTCAGCGACTATTATACACAGCCAAGACAAGAGCGCTTGGTTATTCCTGCCCGAGACAAGATCTGGTACGAAACGGGACCGATAAGCTCATGTTTTATACGGAGGAGCTGCGGAGCTCAGGATCTGGTTACTGTCGTCACCGTTACTCACCTGCGCCCTCTGCCCTGTCCCGCTCCTCCGTGAGGCTGTCACAGCCACAACGTTCGCCTGCTGCATCCCCAAGCCCGGGTCATTCTCAACACAACTTGTGATTCCGACAGGCCCAGACTCAGCACCCCGCTCCCTTCTCCAGCAACCCCTGCCACGGCAGTCCCAGAGAGCTCGGGGGGTTCTTCTTGATTCGTTCACTGAGGACTCGGTGCTCCTGGGCTATCCAGCATCAACAGGTCGGCGCTTCTCCATTGCTTGTACAAAAACTCAGGTCCTTCATAACTGCTTCATTTTTAGTTTATCCCCTGCATCTCCCCCCACTCTGCTCATCATCTCTGAAAAGCATCTTTGGGCTTTAACAGTTTAGATCTTCTCAAGGGGAAACATCAGTGTGAGAACGTGGAGTATCTTTACATTCAAAGCCCTTTTCCTTACAAATCTTCTTTGAAATAATTACTTTGATCATTTATGCTTTTTAAAAAAAAAAACTCACATCTGACAATTGGTATCATTGTTGATCACTGCTGCTTTGGTTACTGCTCCTCAGACACTGAAATATCACACTGTATTTGAATGCAATCATGCTGCAGCAAAACAAACATGAATTTTGCTTCTGAAATTGCTTCTCATCATATTAAAGTTTCCTGCTTCTTCCCAAACAACAGAAAACAGGACCACTTTCATTAGCACCAAAAGGATTTTAAATGAACAGTTCCAGGGAGCTCCTTTCAAATCATAAAACGTGAATTTTTACATAAAAGTGTTTACAAATTTTTTTCCGCTTTACACTTAGCTCTGCCCATCACTGACCAGAAGTTATATACATAGAGACTAGCTCAGTAGCTTCAACCACTTGCAAGGAGACTGCAGAATTTATTAAAGAAATAAAAAGAGGATTTCCTGGTTCCTAGGAATTCTCTTCAGCCTGCCAGATTCAGTCACCTGCCGGCTGTGCGGGCGCAGGAGGGCACTAAGCTTTTGGGGAGAAGGGGTACTGCGGGTGCCACCAATCCAGGAGTCGCACGCTGTGCACGGGGTCCAGCACAACCTGCACTCCTTGGTCCAGCCGGGCCTTCTTGCCGCTGCGAACGGGGGCATCCTGGAACACCAGGCGCACACGGTGATGCCTCATGTCCGTACTCACGTTGATGGTGAACTGCAAGAAAGAGCAAGACAGGCAAGGATGAGCGCTGCGAGACAGCGGTGCTATTCTACAAACACCCCGCTGTCTGCAGAGACTGTGGTTACAGTCTCAGATCATTGGCCCTGGGTATCAAAATGACTTCTTTTCGATTAAGTGAACATTTAAAACACAGAACTGGTAACTCTGGGCAGGTAAGTTTTTCACCTACACATGCAAAAAAGAATTTTGGAAAAATCAAAACAACAAATGAATGGAAGAACTCCAATTAATCTAAAAGTGAACTCTTAGAAACTCAAAACTATATCCATCTACAGTATTTCAGGTGCTGGCAGAAATAGGCTTCAACTCATTGCTCACACTAAGACCAAATTTTTCTTGGGCACAGGCTATATTTTAAACCCTGACTTACAGCCACACATGATGCCCTGGGTCTTACTGCTTGTCTGGCTGTTAGCACACGTGGTCTGCTACTTTCTGAAATAATATTTCTTTTTGGAGCAACTTTGGGGATAACTGAGTTTGTCAAATTGAGTTCAAAAGCTGCTATTTTACCTCACAGTGAGGTACCAACATCATCAACCTGGGACCACAAAAACACTGTTCCCTGCTGGAGCATCAATAACAACCACTCCCAGCCGCAGCAAACCCTCAGCTTCTCCCAAATTCTCTGCATCACTGATACTGTTTACATCAAACAGGCAAGACTTGATGGGTCTGCAGAACCCAACTGAGGAAATCCTCAGCAACGCCTCTAGGAATTGACTTGGAATGCCCACAACTAGTTGGCTGGTGCAACACCATGATTTACATCAAACCACAGGGACCAGAAGTCTCTTTTTCACCTCCTATTAGAAACTCTAAGTGTGAAGTTGGCCCACTTTGCCGGCGTGGGCAAACACTTACCAAGGTGAACGTCATACCCATGACTATTGGCACAAATATGAAGTTAAAGGTGGTGATCTGCAGTAGACAGCAATCCTGATCAGGGTTTGTATGGACTTCCTCATACTGAATAGGTGGCTGAAGACCTTTGTAACAGTTGCTCTTTAACCTGGGTGACTTGAAAGAAAGATAAATATTTACTTAGCTACTCTCAAGGTTGTTTATACAGCATATTTATCATGAGAGCCATAACTTGCATTTTTCATTAGCACGTGTTGGCTTCTAAGGGCAATTCTTCTCAAGTTAAGGCAAGAAGTTTGAGATTTAGGCTCAGTTTTAACCATGAAACTCAAAATATCTGTTCTTTTTGTTTGTAATGAGTAACAATAACCTAAGGATTAGTTATTTGGGGTGATAAAGGATCTACGTCTTCAAGTGGAGAAAGAGTAACAAATGAGGAAATAAAAATGTAGGAATCTGAAGAGGCTGGTAGCATAGACTGAATATTAAGTGTAGTTTTACAATGTGTTCTATCATGGAATTCAGAGTTTCCATTTGTTGTTATAATTCAGGACTGTCCTTTCTATCACTCCAAAAAAAATGTTACTGCCTTCTATTTTTTTTTAAAAAAAGAAAAGTTATAGCTGGCTCTTCATTCAGAGTTCAGCTTTCATACCTGCTTTTTGAACTTGAAGTTGAATTCCCACATTGATTCTTGTCTGTTCCCTTCAATCTTTTTGCACCAGAAAAGCAGACACTGAGGTAGAAAAAAGAAACACAAAGTTATGAAGCTCTTACAGGCAACACTTTAAATATGTTTTTGCAGGGCAGAAAGTCTTCTAATTAGAAACACCATTACAGAAGTGCAGTCAGAAGCCATTTATTCAAATTAATCACGTTCAGAGAACACACCCCAAAGTTTCCATCTCCCAGTGTGAAGTTGGTCAATTAATCATGCAACAGAATGGCACAACATGTAGTCACTAGTCTGCGAAACAAAAATCCCTTTGCACCACTTGTCCCTTCCCGAGTAGGACAGATCCAACTGCTCCTCTATGCCCCACATCTGCACCAAGAAGGCCCCTTAAGCTGGACTCCAAAGGAAAAAAAAAAAAAAAAAAAAAAGACTGAAGCAAGGAACACCCAAAACCAGAAAAAAGAGTCAAGAAGGAAAGAATCCAGAGAGAAATGCAAAGGCTGAGGCATGACCTTTGAGGTGACAGATACGGAAGTTCCTAAACCACTTCAGAGACAAAAGATGGTCCTGACACGACTGTGCACCAACTTGTCACATTTTGGAGTATAAAAACAGTGCCAGGTTAGCACAGTCTGATTGCCCTGAGTGGAAGCTACTGTCCTTCAACAGCCAAGGAGAGAATCAAATGAGTCAGCCTGACCATCCCTGAATGTGATTCCACACCACAGACACCAGCCCACCGCAGCTGGTCTTATCTGCTGCTATTAACAGTGTCAGCGGGAGGAGAAATAACAGGAGTAGAGAGGAGAGCTCCTCATCGCTCATACACAGCCTCTCCTGCTCCAAAAGAAGGCTTGGCCGGGCCGATGGGGGAAGTAAGTACACATATAACTTATTTTCAGCTAGAGTGACCCCAAGTAAAAGCAAGCCTGACCAGTCTCCACCATGGGGGCTTCATATATAGTAGCTACAGGAGATACAAGGCCCTTAACTCAAAGTCTGAGGCATGTCCATAAATAACAGTCCTTAAAGGATCTCTATAATGACAAATCTTGATGGTGAACGACAAAGACATGTGGAGTCAAGCTCAGAAACACGTGTCAAGCCACCTGGGAGGCGGCGGCCCCGGGTTTCGCCTATAACAACATTCTCCAGATCTTTGTGAACTTGGGTGTGCAGCAAATTCCATCAAGTTTAACTCCACAGTTAGTGGCATTTGTGTTCACCTGGTCTAACAGCTCGTTTGGTCATGGCAAGTAGCGAAGCACAAAACGGTCAGTACCTCCTAAGGGGCAGAGGATGTCATCCGTGGGTCAGCCGTCCTGCCCTTCAGCCGCGCCGGAGGCCCTGCTGCTCCACCAAAAATAATGGGGGTGTCTTTAAAGGGCAAACACTTCTGCTGACACCATAACGGCTCCAGTGTCCCACACAAGCTAGGCCAGGGAAAGAAAAAAAGAAATTAAAGAGGAAAAGCTAGATCCAATAACATTGTGGACTGGGGGCTCTTGCCACATGCAGTTTACAGAGGCATCTGCCATTCTTTTCAGTGACCCGTAAAGGTATAACCGAAACCCATGAAAGCGAGGACGAGGGGAGGTCACGAGGGAACCTCCTCCACACCCACCGTGCCCGGACATCTCCGTGCACAGCAACGCGGCTGGAGCTCGCAGTCTTGCGACACAGTAGTAGAGCAAGACCACACTCCTGATAGCTCTTCTCTGCTCCAAGGGGTTGGGTCAGACCTCTACTGTTCCAACAAAGCCTCATCACTGTTTAATTTCCTTTTTTTTTTTTTTCCTCTCTCTCTTTTTAAAGCTGGAAAATAAAAGATTGCACTTCCAGGATCTTTCTAGAACTGTTAGTGCAGTAGAAGCGCTAGCAGTGGGCACCAAAGCCGTTATGATGTCAACGTGAATGCTCCTACGCTGCCAGCCCTGGCGGTGTCACCTCACGGGTCTCCAGCGCGCACGGCCGCGCCGCACGTCCCAGCAGTGGGAATGCCCTGGTGGGAAGTCAGGCTCAGAAGCACTAAGCTTAGGTTGGAATTTCCTAGAAGTATTTTGGTCTTTGTTTAAAACAGACAACATCCAAATTGGGGATTTGGAGAGGGAATGGAAAGCTCTGGATGCAGAGACGAAAGACCCACACGCGGAAACGCTGCTTCACTCCTGCTCTGCAGCACCACCTGCTTGTGCTACTGCTGCTAACTCTGCTCCCTACGCAGGCAACACTCTTCCCAGTATCCTCACAGAGAGAGGAAGGAAGAAGGCAGGGAAGGGGAGGTGTCACCCAGGCAGATGAGGTTGCTGTCTGTGGCACGGAAAGGAAAGAACGGTTGAACCAAAATCCCTTTGGTTTCATTCCAAAAGCCTCATTCACCAAGCGTTTGGATTTGGAGCGGGGGGAATTCACGCTGCTGCTTAAGCTGTTCCCTGAATGTCAACCAGTTGTGAGTTAAAACCAGACAAGAAACACAAAGGCAATTCAGAGTTAATGATAACAGCAATTAAAGAGGAAAGGATATGCAAGTGCTCCAAGCTTGGAATAGCAAAGGGAATTGCCTGCCACACCAGAGATAAATCCTTCACAGGCCAACACAACTGCAGCCCCTGTCCCAAGGCAGACATTTGCTCTGCACGTTTGCCATGCTCACAACCTCCCTACCCTCCCTCTCGCAGAAACCAGAGGCGATGGATGACCTAGAGGAGACGGAGTATGAAACGAGTCCCTTTCTGAGGCTACCAGTGTCGCTTCTGATGCTCTCCAGATGCCTGCTATGGAGAAAAGATGTATTCTGGCAGACAGCATCAGAATAAAGCAGAAGACATGAATGCTGACCCTACCTCAACCTCCTTTCAACAACAAATTTGGAACAGAGGATGGGAAAGCTACAAATTATATCACCAGCGCTTCTGATTTTCAGTGAAGCAAGTGTTTTTGCTGATTACAAAGTTATCATGGTAGGATTTAGGCACTCAGAAAAGTAAGCAAGATCCCTTATAGCAGCAGCTGTACAGACACAAGTAACCAGAAATCATTTAAAAATCACTACTTCTAAGCTGAGAATCCTCTAAAAACCAAGCTTAACTGAGGATCATCTAAACAAGATTTTTTTTCTCCTCGAAATAGAATAAAAATACAGAAAAAGCAACATCTCAAACACATCCCCCCTCCTAAGAACTAGCACTTACTCTGGAATTTTTTAAAGTGCTAGGAGTACTGTCTGGAATAGCTGGATTCCTGGAGACTCGCGATGCAAAAGGTTCATACATATGGTATAGCGACCGGATGACACACGCACGGAGGCAGTGCAGCTTTTCCATGGATTCTGGTCGCAAGCGGAGGGGCAGGTACGCATCGAGGCTGTAGTGCCTGAAAAGCAAAGGACAAAGCCAACATGCTTGGAAGGGTCAGAAAGTCAGGGAGATGTGTAGAAAAGAGCTACAAAAATCATCATTGAGCAACACCCAAACATCTGAATGAACACGGGGGGGACCAGTGATCAACTTGGAACGTTGCAAGAGCTTTGTAGTCTCTACATGAAATCACATGGCACTCACAAAGTCACAAACTGCTCTGTACTCTTGTTGATCGTCCCTCCTGAGCAACAGATCCATTAAAAAGAAATCAAATCTTCCCTCCTGAAGGCAAGCGTGAGTGGCACGCACTAGGAAAGGAGGATTTGTTTCATATTCTGACCCCTTCTTTGCTTTTCTTCTCTTCCCTATTTTATTATGACCCATTACCACCAGGGAGATGACTCCTAAATTCTTGGCACTACTCTTAGTTTCCTTTTTGCCTTCCTAAATAGAAGAAGGTGACCACAATCAAAGCTAGTTCAGGCAAGGCAAGTTTTCTATCAATCATGCTTGCTTTTTTGAAGGCAGGCAATGGCCTGACCTCACTTTCTGAATTCATAACCATGTGCTCTCTGTGTTAACAACAGAAGCATGCAGGCTCTGGCAAGCACAAAACCAGAACAGGCATTGAGATCTTGTATGGAGCATGTGGGAATATGCTGCCATGCAGAGATCCCTTTCCAGATCCCAAAGCAGATGCAGCCTTTCAGTGTCCAAAGGGACCTATAATATAATATAATCCTGTAATATTCCCTTACTTGCAGCTCACTGGTCACCACTGAAGCATCCTACCTATTGGTAGGATTTATCTATTGATAAAACAATCTCTAGAGCCTCACCTTCTGTAGAGCCTGGTCCAAAAGGCAGCAGTGCAAGTAACAGTCCAGGCCTTCTTGCAGATCAGAGAAAAGCGAACGATGTCTTCAGGGCGAATGTAGGATGCCAGCAGCAGCCAGATATCTATGGGATATTCTTCTCCACCGTCACCATCGGGATTTTCTAAATGCAGTGAACATGTGTTACTGTAATAAAAAACCTCTTTTCCAAAGCACAGCTAGAGTGAAGGCCTATGCTTTCCACTGCTCGTACAGGGTGAGTAACTTGAGTTTGTGTACGTGGGTTGAGCACAGGGTGAACGGTCATAAGATTCTTGCAGAAGCCCTGCCAGGCAGCACATACACCCAGTTACTGCAGTTTCTCATTAATTAGCTGCTTTCTTAAGTCTGACTTTTAATCAAAGATGGCAAACTAAAGAAATTAATACAGAACAGAACGGCTTGTTCTCCCTCTCTGAAGCATTAAAAGCTCTGCAGAAAGAACTGAAGCTTCACAGATTCATTTCATTTTAGCAGTGCCTTTAAGTTAACAAAATCATGTTTTCCCACAGACAATTCTCAAAAATATATTATAAGAGATAAGATTTTAAAGGAACAATTAAGTTACTCAACTGCGTATTAGTTGTTGGAATATTCTTAAGTAAAGAGGCTAAAGGACCTCATTCAAGAGTGGTATATGGAAAGGAGAATAGGGATTCAGATGAAAAACGGATGTCCTTTCGGACAAGACACAGAACAGCTCAAGATATTAAGTTTTGTCTGCACCTAGCTCTCAAGAAGAGACAGAGCAAATTTAAAATGAGAATGTAGAAAATGATCTGTAGATTTGTACTTGTCCTTGTCATACTTGTACTGCTTAAAAATAATTAAAAGAGGTGACAGCCTTTCAAATGTTTGTTTCTTCATATTCAGGAGCAGAGATTTAAAAAGTATGAATTTTATTTAGATTAAAGCACTCCTCAACTCTCTGCTACTGCACGATTGATCTAAGCAGCTAGCTGAACTCTTTGGGCAATAAGATTTACAACAGCTGGGTTTTAAAATGAGGATGATAGGGAAATTAAACAATTTGTTGGAAGTAAAATAAAGTGGTAGAATAGAAACTGTCTTTCCACACCCAAACTAGCTATTGGGATATTCCTATCCTTCCAGGATTTCCAAAGACAACTTAATAAATAGCAATGGAAATCCCATCCCAGAGGACTGCTGTGTATTTACAACCTGCAGGGGATGATTAGTTACACAAATCAGTATCTTTACATAATAACTTTACACACTATAGAGCTGCATAAAGCATAAGCACTGAAGGATAGAGCTCCTCAGAATTAGCTTTCCATGGTAACACTAGGGCTAAATTCACTCAGCTGCTCTCTAAACCCATTTGTAGCAAAGGGCAGGTTTGGAAATATCCTAAAAACAAAGCCTGGATTCTGCCCACAGATACGTGGTGCTTTGTTGTTCAAAGCAAATCCTGCCCTCACCGATGCTTTCAGTGAAGAACAGAGTACCATACACGGCAGTTTCCTAACTCTTTCAATAGAGCAGCAAGGCTGACTAAATCAGTGAAAGGAACAAGATCTTCAACTTGGATTGTGTGCCCAAGCCTCCACCTTCATGAAAAGTCAACGTTTTTGTCCAAGTCACATCAGGTTTCTTGGTAGAGCTGGGAATGGTGGTTTAATCCCTTCAACTTGTGCACACACGTTTCAAAACCCCAAGAAAAGCCACGGGACTAGTCTGTAATAACAACCCCTAACCCACAGACAGAAAAACGTCCTGGAAAAGCCCCCGCAGAGCTGTCCCAGGAGAGGACCACGACGGTACCTTTGTGCCTTTTGCTCTTCTTCTTTCTGGATGCAGGTCGCCCGTTGATACTCTCCTTTGTGTCTGTTTCATCGCTGCTGTCACAAGAGTCTCCAGATACAGAGAGAACTTCCTC